CTACTATTTAGAAAACAACTATGTACAATAATATATTACTCTCTGGCCAGCTTGCTAAATTGACAATCAACAACTTAAAAACTAAATATATACAAAGGCGATAAATATTTACAACGGTCCAACTATGGTTAGTTCGGTCGCTCCAGCTAAGTGGTCAGTCGGTTGACCGTGGTTGTCGGTTGGCAAAATAAACTCGAAACGGTCGAATGAGTGAAACTTAAAGTAAACAAAACGGTGCAGAGAAAACAAGGTAAAACAAAATAACTGTGCAGTTCAAGAAAGAAAAGCCAAAACAAAAAAAGAACGGTGAAAAAGAGTCAACGAAAAAAACGCGGTACGGTAGACGGTAGTAGTGATAGTAGTAATGAAAAAATGATAGTAGCAAAACGGTCGGAGGGCGAGCATAGGTGGTGGTGTGGGGAGCGGCAGCCTATGTAATTCCCAAACAAGGTTGTTGTTTCTCGTTCTTTAACTGATACCGAGAAGTCACAAGATTCATGGCCGTCCCAAGATATTAATCATGCTGAAATACCAGAAGTCCGAGCAGTGAAGCTAGTTTTGATCACACAACCTCAGTTACCCTGTTTATTGGACAAGTGTTCACAATGGACAAATCTCATTCGAGTAACGGCATGGCTCTTGCGATTCAAAAAACACCAGATGGTTTAGTTAAATTTGATCATTGGAAATCTCTTGTCGAATATGACGAATCAAAACATATTAAACTATATTATAAGCTGACCAAAGACCATTTATACCCACAGCATTTAAAAAAAATGAATGTTAAAATGGCAATAGTGGTAAGTAATGAAAGATAAAGTATTTATTAATGCAATGTTAAATAATAATAAGTGTATTGACGCTGGCAACACTGTAGTTGGCCGGCCGGTGCTATACAAATGATAACAATGATGTCATGATAACTAGGGTTACAAAAACAAGCACAAAGCCAAGTTTTTAAGTCGCATGAAGCATCCAAATCAGAACAAAAAAGCAATATATTCAGTGCAAGGGAATTTGACACCTTGGTCAATATTTTAGGCGTGCAACACCAATCAATCACACGGATCGCGTCAACAGATCATTAGGCCAAATTCAGGTTCGCACACACGGGTTGTCAGTTTGAGCTATCTTTCAGGTTTGCACACACGGGTTTGCCAGTTTGAGCCATCATTCAGGGTTACTGTCTTCTTTTAAACCTTAAATTGGTTCAGGTTTATGTTTCAATTAGTTTTGTATGTTATAAAACTATATAAAGTTGGTTCTAGTTTTAAGTCAATTAGTTTATATATTATAAACCGATAGGAGTAGGTCTTAGTTTTAAGTTAATTTAAGTCAAATGATGTAACACCAACTTACATCGGATCCGGGTAAGTACATAACTAACGAGGTAACGCAGGAGAGTTTTTTTCAAATTTGTTAATATTTTTTATTTTACAATAACAAATTAGCCGATTTTTTTCGCAAAAATCGCGTTTTTCCCTTCAGTGTTCCCAAAAAGTGAAAAATTGAAATTTCAAAAAACCCTCCCAGCGTTACCTGGGGAAAGCAATTATCTAACGAAAGAACTTGATTTTTTTAATTTCGGATGATCCAGCATCGAGTTATGAGGGGCACCGCAATTCTACTTTTTTCCGAGACGCTTCAGAATAATTGCCGCCATTGCTGTATTTTTTAATATTTCTACATGAAAATATTACACAATATTCTACGAGTGTTATACTTTAATGTATCATTCGTTTTAATAAACAGATTTTAACTGTATCGTCAAAAAAAATTCACAAAAATTTGCCGTTTTTTGCACAAATTAACCATACCAATTAACCATAAGGAGTAAAAATGCCAGGTACGCTATTTTTTTAAAGTAAAAACGTCTCCTTACTTTTATTTTTCCAATTCGAGCATTGCCTATAAACCCTAATCAAAACTTCAAAAAATGTTAAATTGGATTTGACATTAATAAAAAAAAATAAAAATGAATACATTAGATGTTTAGTATAAAATAATGGTTTTGAAAGAAAAATAATTTTACTCAAAAAGGATAGTTCGCATCGATACGATAAATAATGAAAGAAAATATATATACAGGGCAAATTAAAATATATATACAGGGTTTCTCGTAAAGTTTCAAATGAGACATTTAGGATGCTCTATGAAAACAATAAATGATTTTCATTTTTTTAAAATTTTAAATGATATAAGATAGAACTTTTATCGAATCTCTTTACAGAATCCTATTTAGTCAAAATTGTGTCTGGTAGTTAAGTCTTAAATAAACCAAAATGGCTTTGACTTATAGAAAAAATGATTTCAATAAAAAACTAATACCTTGACGCTTATACAAATTAACTGGTAATTTAATTGACATGGTTGAAATTTATTTAATCACTTTTATCTTAAATATTTTGCATGACAAATCACTAGATGTGTATGTGAGTGGATTTTCTTAATGCCTCAAACTAATATGTCCTTTGCAAATAGTTCCATAAAATCAAAAATTAGTAAAAACGAATGTTTTTGGACTAAAGCGATGCTATATTGTGTAAATTTATTGTAAAAACACCTTGAGTTTAAGGACCACATTACTTAATGACTAATTATGATATTGAAATGGAATTTTCACTGAACAATTGTTATTTAAGTGTTATTTTTCATAATATCCTTAACAATTTTTGAATAGAAAAAAATTGAAAAACAAATTTAGTAATTTGTACAGACTTATTTATATGTATATAGAAATCTGGTACAAGTTTGGTAATGGATACTTATTGTTCCCAGTAGTTGTAAGAACTATACATAGAAGTACAGAACAAATTTCAGAATTTACTTAAATCATAAAAAAATATATATATATGAATAAAAAAATTGCAGTTATATGTGTCTGATGATTTTCTTCGATTTTATAGAACTATTCGCATAAGATTTATTATTATTATACGTTATTTAATGTGTTTTCAAGTTTCACTAATAGTAACATTTGAATTAATTATCAAATAATATTTATTAGATGTTCTCAATTACTAACTCTCGTATGTTATAAAATTGTATTAGAAACTATAATAAGTTTCCTATTAAAAACAAATGGTGCGAATATTTAATTCAAAAATATTTATTTTTGGTTGAGGCTTGAATTTTTAAGATTATTGATGGTTTAAAAAAGTTGCAAAAATGGGACATAAACGTAACATAATACACATTTTTAATAAATTATTATTTATGACATTATTTTTTAGAAAATATGGAGTTTCAAGTGGTCGATGGATTTGTAAAAAATAGCAAAATTTATCATATAAATGATGGATTCTTTTTTAAAATTAAATGTAGAAGATCTACGTCCATATCGCTTAAATGCATTATACCGGAATGTTCTGCAAAGGGTATGTAAAAAATATTTTTTTTCATAACGCGTTCATAGATTTTTACAGGGGGAACCGCTTTTGCATTACTTCCAATATAAAAATTACTACTTTGCCGCTTATTGTGATTACTAGTCTTGTCCTCTTTCTTCAATTTTTTTTTTCTTGGCTAATTCTCGGTCTTGTAGGCTCATCGGCGATTCCATTACACCTCTCCATGCCTCTCTGTCCATCTCTAGTATTTCTCTATCTCTTATTTCGAGGTGCTTAAGGTCTTCCTTGACTCGACTAATACACCGCTGTCTTGTCCTATACTTCTCCAAACTTACTCTATATATACAATACAAATATATTCTTTATAAATTACATTTCAAAGGTCTCATCAGAAACAATTTGCTGGCCAATACCACACTACACAATCATGAACCCGACATGGGTTATTTATCATTAATTGAAATAAAGAAAACTATGGTTAATCGCTGTGCTATGGAGTTGACAGCAATACGAATAATTTATGAAGAAGAAATAGCTAGGTAACATAAAACTAATGAATATCTCATATAAAAATACATTTAAAATAGTTTTAATTTTGCTCTTACTTTGATTCTCTTCACATCATTGTTTTGTAAAAAATGCAAAATTTAATACATATCTCAACTTCTTTAGGATGGATCATTATGATCCCAGACTTGAGTACAGTTCTTTTTTGAAAACAATGGAAAGGGCACGTGCAGAGGCACAGCCTCGTGTTCCACAAACATTAGAAGAATACTCTAACTATTTATCTGATAATAGATACCGGCATTTATTTGAGCTCGACGGACAACCTTTTTTTAAAGGATATATTAATGGTGGGCCGGAAACTGGACAAGCAACTGTATTTGTGTCTCCAAAAATGACTAAGTAATAAAAATAACCTTAAATACAGTAAAAATGTAATGTAATTATTAAATTTTTAAATATATATGATTCAAATGTATTTAATTAAAAAATATCAATGGTAGTTTTATTAAAGTTTATATTTTCTTTTTATAATATAGCAAAAAAGTAAGTTTTTATATTGTAAACAAATAGGGAAAATGTATAATGATATTTTTTTAATAAATCCAAATATTTTTTAGAAATTTGAGGGACATTAATTGGTATGATAATTTTGTGTACCTTTATGTTAACGTTTCTGTAATTTTAGCTTGTTATGTTCTTCAAATGAGCTCCATATAGACGGAACTTTCAAGTCTAGACCGGCTCATCCGCAAACGGAACAACTATTAGTGATAATGGCAGTCCACATGGACCAAGTAACTAAAAGATAATATTTATATTAAGTACCACATGTTAATAATTATATTTATTAAGGCATATCCTGTTGCTTACGCCATTATGACCAGGAAAACGGAAGCGGCTTATTTGGCAGTACTGGCGTACGTATTTAGATTGGTTCCAGTGATAAATGCAAGGACTATTGTAACAGATTTTGAAACTGCGCTAACAAATGCACTTGAGTTGTTAGTTCCGGGAGCCCAAATACAAAGATGCTGGTTCCACATGACCCAAGTAGCATAATTGTTAAATACAAATAAAATAAATGTCCTTATTTGGGTTTCTCAAATATTTTATTATATACAATTTTAACATTTCATTAATTACTGAATAGGCTTTAGAGAAAAAATGTAGGGAGTTGGGTATGCGGCAACCCATATATATTTCCGATGTGGCATTACAAAAAATGTTTAAAATGTCAAAAGCATTGGCTTTGCTGCCTATTGATAGCATAGCCGGTGGATTCTGCGCAATCAAATCACAAGGAGAGTTGTCGCAGAACCAAGATATTGTCCAACGCTACCTTGACTACTTCAAGACACAGTGGATTCAACGTAAGCAATAAAATTGACTCATTACAAATTATAAAATAAGAATTGTATTGCTGTTTTAGAATCAATGTATTGCTCTTTTAAAACAAAGGCATAGTCTGTATGATCTATAAATAATCTTATTTAAAATATGTGATGTTCAAACATTAATCTATTTTAGGAGTTGGGCCAGAAAACTTTAGTGTCTATGGAAGTGCACGGCGAACTAATAATGACCAAGAAGTTTTCCATAAACTTCTCAATGCGCAAATGAATGGTCCTAGGCCAGGGATATGGCACTTTACCAGTAAATGTATTTTACAGTTTCCCATCATAAGCTATGAATATTGAATAATCTTACAAGACAATTTAACATAAATAAAAATACACAAATTTATACTTACAGAAATCCTTGTTAAAATTGATCAATTATTTTCGGCAAAATATGAACGGCAACAAATTCACCCAATATTAAGAGCAAGGCGCCAAACATATGTTCAGCTTGATAGAAAATAAGTGCTGCAACTGAGCGGTTGGAGCAAGAGCGACTAACGATTGCGGAATTTTTGTTTTACACTGGGAATTTAGCGTATAACGCAGGTATTTTACTAAACAGTCAATTAATATTATTATAAATCAATTATACATACTCTCATTAGGTTAATTTAATTTAGTTGTCATATTAGTTATCAAGAGTAACATTATTAATCTAATTGTAAATGTGTATTATTGTAATGGTTTTGAAGAACTATTGTCTACAAGTCTAATTATTTTTTATTTTATTTACAAAAATAAAGAATAAAATATTATAAAATGAATTGTGAAAAAGTAATAGGTATGTTGTATATTACTTTTAACTTGAATAATTGTTTAATCCAGAGAGAACAAATCAGCAGATAGGTCCAAATGCAGATATACCTCCACCTGCAGTTATTAACGTTGATTTTCCACCTGCAGTTATCCGCCCAAGTAAGGAAAACGCCTAAATAATCTTCTGTTGTAATTTATATTACTATTCATATTTACTTACTAGAAATGTTTTCATAAAAGATACACAAGTCCTAGCTCCACCTGCTGTCATACAAGTTCAGCCTACACCTGCGGTAATTAATGATCCTCTTCCTACTGAACAACAAAATCATATTGTCGACAATAGTAAATATATTTGTTAATAATTACAATAGTATAAATTGCTTTAAAAAAAACTTGTATTGTATTGGCTTGTAAGGCAGACCGGATACAAACTTTTCTTGCGTTCATTGATGGAGAATGATCATGTCTGTTGTAATTGCCATACATAATAATGATAGGATATGGTTGATAACAACAATGAATCTTAATTCTAAATTAGAATTAAATACAATTTAATGAAATGTATTGCCATATCTTAAAATGTTATAAAATAAGTATAACTATGTCTATGATAAATCTGTACCCGGTCTCTCTATACTTAAATAATAAATTAAGATCTCCTGTAAAAAAAATACATGCGTCATATTTTGTATGACAACATTTAAACAGTTATTAATATTAATGATTATTTGTTGATGTTTTTTTAATTTGTGTCCATACTTTATAGATAATGATTTCATAATACCTGAGGAAGCGGACGAGTTATTCGTATTCATTGGACAAATGGAGATGGCCAGAACAATACGGGAGCGAGAGGATGTTCCATATGTTTTGGCAGATGCTCACGAATTGATTCCCCGAAGCATTAACAGTTGTGCTATTTTTTTGGCGGCCAATAATACGCATGCCTGCACCCCGTGTGGCCACAAGTGTATGTGTGTAGATTGCAGTGTTGAAGTGAGAAGACGAGGGCGTTGTCCGATATGCAACACTGATATTTTAATGATTACAAGAATTTATGAATAATTTCTATGTATTGAAAATAAAATAAAATAAAATATTTAAATAAGATTTTTTTTTTTGGTCTAATGATTATTGGAAATAGTTTATAAATTATAATGGGTTTTTTTTACTTACAATAGAATCGGCACACCTACGCGGGAGCCCGGCCGAATATAGTGTACAGGTAGTCTACACTTCACTCTACCTGCGCTGCCGAAGGGTCTTTCTCCCCGCCAGTCGTGGTCCTTTTTTAATTTTATTTCGTAATACCTTGTCTGATAACGCTCGTGCACACAGATATTAATACTCTTTGACCAGACTAAATTCAAAATTGGTTAACAGATTAGCCAATCGAAGCTGCATATGAATAACGCTTGTTAGACAAATTCATTGAGCACAAAAAACAATCATCTTTTGCAGATTCGTAACCAGCATTAAAAGTACTAATACAGAAAAAAAAGGTGCCCGGTAAACTAGATTTGTCCTTAACCCACTAACGCCGGAGTTTTTTTATAGAATTTTTTTAAAACATTAAAAAAATTTTTTTTTTTTTAAATAATTGGTGTCTTGGGTGCTTGTTTCATATTATTTTTTTAATTAAAAAAATAATGTGTACTTAATTATTGAAAAATTTGATGTTACCCTATGGCCACGCTAGGCGCTATTGGGTTAATTACGTATTAATATATTCATACTAATAAAAATGTATAAGTGTAACGAATACAAATGTTTTATTCGAACATTGATAAAAGTCGTAATTATAAAAAAAAAAATTGTTAAAACCCGATTAAAAATTAAAAAAATAACATTGCAAAGAAATAATGAAAATGAATAAGCGGACAACCGTACCGTGAGGCGTACAGGTAATAAATAACCATACAAGATACCGCGCTCCGACCTCCGCGGCACCACCTAGCAGGAACGCGTTCTATTGGCGGCGGTGAGAAAACGAGCATGCGCACAAACTAATACGAGTTCTATTGGCGGCGGTGAGAAAACGCGCATGCGCACAAACTAATATGAGTTGCTGTGCGCATGCGTATAATAATAATCGTGCATTTTTAATAAAGATTGTATATGTTGGTACCCCTTCAAGTGGCTGTTTGTCGAGTGGCTCCGTGTCGATTTTCGGTGGCTGTTTGTCGAGTGGCTCTTTGAGGGTGTTTAGGGCAGTTCTTCCAAAAAATGATAAGAGATAAGAGTTCTTCCAAAAGATAACACAATTTTTATTTTATCAGCGTGACCAACCCAGAAACACCAAAATATAAAATCACATTCAATCAGTCTGCCAATTCTATCAGAATAAAAGTAACTAAAATATAACTAACGTTTGTCAGAGTTAACTGTTATCTCTAGAACTAAACGGCAATAATTCAAATGATAAAAAAAATAACCGTGTTAAAATATATTATATTTTTACACATTTTTACGATACATTTATAATGACAAAAAACCAACTAGTTCATATGACGACAACGATAATTATTGGTAAATAAAATTTACTTTCGTTTCTTATTAATATTTTTATTAGAATTCTTTTTTAATTCATAATTCAAAACTCTTATTTTCACATAATATAAACTTGCAATATTTAATATGAATAACATAATATATTTATCAATTATAGTACCTAGCGACAAAGTTCATACATACACTATATTGTACTAATTTGTGTGACAATATTATTACATCCTATTTAAATAAAACTATTAATACAAGTAAATTATGTTTTACAGTATGATGGTAGTTGTCTGAAGTCATAAAAAGCTTATCGGTATGCTTATTCATTAGAGCGGTTCGATTTCTGAAACTATCTCTAGTCTGATTAAGTGTGGTAACAGGTATGGAGTTATTTTTTGTAAAATTGTTTTAATTGATTTAATCTCTATTATTTTAATAATTAACATTTCAACTTTTAACTTATTTATTAATAATATATCTTTCAGTTTTAAGATGAGTCAAAGATTCTGGTTGAACAGTTCTCCATCGACACTAAGTGGAAGAAATAATTGTTTTATCATTTGTCTAAATAGACTAGGTAAGGAAAACATTCTAGATTTGTAGTATTAACACAAATATTGATACAAAATTAGTTTAATATCAATCTAAAACACCCTAATATAGGGTATTTAAAAAAAAAGAAATCAAATGTAAACTGTAATCCATAGACGGATTTTTGACACTATATTTGAATATTTGTTGTTGAAGTTAATTGGATTTTGTGCAAAACCCCTGGAAGAATATTCTGTATCAGACTAACAGTATAAAAGCCACCCAGTATTTCTGTTTACCTGCTGTTAAACATCGTAGTATCATCTCCAATCTCTTTATATTTTGTTTAATTTTATTTAAAAAAGTCTCATTATAATTTATTATTAATCAACTGTAATTCAGTTGTTTATTTATTGAATAACTTATTATCCTGTCTTCAACGTCCATATAAACTGTACTGTATTTATGACCACTACACTGATATCTCATTTGGCTAAATATTTTTAATTTTCAACTACATTAAAACAAAATTAAGATTGTTTAAATTTTTTTTTTGAATACTTGTATTATTGTTTGAATATTTTTACACTTTAAGTGTTAATACAAGTATCTTTAGTTGAACGATACTAACAGTATATTACTATTACAATTTTGACAAACATAATTATTAGCCTACAAAAATAAATTATAAATGTAGCTTCTGTATTTGCTTATTTATTAATATTTACTTACCTCAATAACATTAAAATATTAATTTATTGTAAAAATATCTTGACCTAACTGAAAGATTAAAAATTTGTAAACTGTTGTGAAATTATGTTGATGTTGTTAGGAAAAATTGTGTAGTCAAAATTTTGAATACCTAGCTTAAAAAAAAAAAACAGTACAATTTTTTTTTAATAAACCAAGTAATTATACATTTGTAAATTTTGATGTTTAGTTTATAATATATACATTTTTAGTTAAAAAATATCTTTACTTAAGTATCATTTTATACTATTTATACTTTTTACCAGATTATTTTATGTGTTTTAAACTATTACATTTATTATTTCTATTATTACTATTTATTATTTATTTAAATGACTTATCAAACTTTATGAATTGTACTTTATAAATTATAAAATTGGTCTGAAATGTATACTGTGTTACTATAGGTAGACTGATAGACAGGAAGTCTGTATTGTTTTTTAGAAATAAAAGTTGTTTTTTCTTGGTTAGCTTAATTATATAGTGTGATTGACTAATTTTCTCTCATAATAATTTCAATTAGGTAAAATTATTTTTCAAAACATTTTTGTTTGTGTTATTTTACAACTGAAAACATGTTTTAATAACCACTTACTTTTTTGATAATTTTTAATTAAATAATATTTAATTATGATAAAAATTCAAAGCGTATTTAGTATATAGTATATATTTGTTTATAATTTTATTATTTAGAAATGCATTAGTTTTTAGATGTAGTTTTTGACACAATAAAGTAAAAGTAAACCAAATGTATTTTTTCTAAATCTGTTCTCATAGACACGTTTACTCTCGATAACGAGTGATTTGTATCTGTGTATTATATTAAGTGATATTATATAATACGTTTAAACGAAGGATGTTTAACATATTGAATACTCTCTTTGAGTATACAATGATGTGTTCGATATAAATTGTATTATAAAGTCCAGATACCGTTATCTTTATTTATATGCATAGTATAATGTAGTAAATAATTATAGATTCAACATTTGAATAATAAATTAGCTTTAGTAAGTTTAACCCTTAACAATACCTGCTATTATCTAATAACTATAGATATATATAAATAATGTCTTGATAATAATTGAATAGTTTTATAACATAATCAATATTTTTGATATTTTCATTTTAGTCAGTTATCAATGAATCAAAGTATACAACTATTTTCTTTTTAATAGTAACGCAGTTACATCTTATATGAATCATAATTCATGAAACACAATTTTGTAGCTCTACACAGTTTTGACCTCTAAACTTTAAGTTATCCAGATTAAAATAGTTTTGAAAACCATATGTTCAGTTTTATTCAAATTCAACTATAAAAACTCGTAAAATCATGTAAATATGTTTTAATAACTAAATATTATATTACTTCATTATTTGGGATTTAATGATTTTCAAATATTTTTGATAGAGACAGTGATAACGATATTGGTTTATAATGGCTCCAGTCTAGTAATTATAACTAGAGCCCTAGTAATTATAATTATCGACTGAAATAATAGATAATAACTACTGAACAATTATTTATTTCCTGTTTTGTGTAAAGGAATGAAGACACATTTGTTAAAACTATTGGGGCACTTACCTGAAAATAATGATAAATTAAATACCTACAGCTTTTATACTTTTCATTGTTAACTACAATTTAGTTAAGTACAACTGTTTAACAGTATAAAGTTAGAATTATCTTCTACTAGTTTAATCTAGTATTTCTAACCAAAATTATGGGGGTATAAGATATTCCTAACACAATTATACCATTTTTAATTAATGTTAAATAAAAATGGGATTATCTAATCTGTTTTTAAATGTTCACTTAGTTAAAATAGAGTTAACCTGACCGCTTGATATTCAATCTTTTAATTTCTGATTTGACAATTTTATTATTTACATATTAGTGAAATTGGAAATAGCCTCATTAGTTTTCACATTAAATATGTCCATAGCTACGTTTATATCATTTAAATTTTCACAACTTCACCAATCTTAAGTAAATATTAACATACTTAAATCAGTCCTATTATAACTTATTAAACTTTTTGTGGGCAAAAAGAGCTTTAACAGCAGATCTCGATGAGAACGAGATAAGAGATAAATAAATATGATGAGATGCTGCAACTTGCAATTGTATCTATTTATTTTATAATATGTATTATTTCTATTTTTTTTATAATATAAGAAAAGTATACATTTCTTAATAAATGGAATGTAGGCAGAATTAATAACAGAAAAGTTATAATATCACTTCTATAAGAAACAAATCGAATTGATAATAATTGTATTTCTACAAAGGCAATCGAGGTAAAAGATAATTATCTAAGTCTTTGCCAGGTGTACTGCACCAAGAGATTTAAGCAGCACACTTATAAGACTTAGAAGAGATGAGAAAGGTAATTCAGACAGAGAATAAACAAGTTTTATAGTAATGTTAATTTACCCCTTTAAACACAATAATAATTCAAGACAATACTTATAATAGTGACACAGAGTATCAATTAGATCACTGAGTATACCAATTAAGTACTGAGGTGTCTAGCTTAATAACTAATGCCCTTTTATATTAAACTAAACAATGGTTAGTCCTACTACTACTCAATAATAATAACAATAGTCAATAACGATAACGCGTGATTGGG